CAGAGGCGTATTTATATATTTACTGCTTGTAGGCCTGCGGAAAATTGCCGCCCTTAATTATGATAAAATAAAATTTAATTAGGTAGGTATGCAAAACAAATTTTAATTACATTTTAAATACATATATATATATGAATAATAATTTAAGTTGAAAAATATTAGAAAAAAAGGAATTACAAAATGTTTGTATACATTCTAAATGTCTTACATATAATAAATTATTTATTAAACGATCGGTTTACGTCGACATTTGGTTTTGGCAAATGCGTCAATTAAATCCTCGCAATTCAATTCTTTTAACATTTCATTTTCTATAGAGAATAATGCTAAGCTGTTTAACTTCTCATCATTTTGAGTGGACCTTAAGTAGTTTTTTACACGTTTGAGGCATGAAAATGATCTCTCGGTAGTACAATTGGATACTGGTACACTTATGAAAATTCTTAATGCAGTGTCAACATTTGGAAATATTTCAATATGTAAAGATTTTTCTCTCAAATACTGACACAGTGTGATTGGAGTTAAAATATTGATGTCAATATCGATATTACTATTCAGTAAATAAGATTGCAAATGTAAGCATTCTGACGAAAATGTATTATCCAAATCATTCGGGTACATTTTTTGCAATTTCTCGGCGGACTCAACTATTTTCAAAGAATTTAAAGATGTAATTTTTAGTAGTACTTCGAATAAATCACAAAACGTTTTGTAGGACTGGTGTCTTTTTTCAAGTTCATTAGTAATTTTATCAATAATAACGTAAAATGTTTCAACTCGAAATTTATCTCCACCACTTAACTCAGTTTGTTCAGCTTTTTCATCGAAGTGTATTTTTTTTTTTTTTTGTCGAGTTATATCAACATTGTACTCTGTAATCTTTGATATTTTTTTAGCTTTAGTTTCATATTCATTAAAATTATCTCGGGGTTTTTGTACTAGATTAATAAGTGATGTATAAATTTGAGAAACTTTATCATTTCCAATTTCAACACATTGTAGTTGCTTATTTGATGCATTAAATCGTTCTAATATATAATTCCAGAAAATTACCATAAATGATGTTTCTAATTTTTGCATTTGATTATAAAGACCATTTGATTCATTTCGCGTAGCACATTTTTCGAAAATGTCATCCTTGATAGTGACCAATGCATTAATAATTTCGTCCCACGAATTATATAATGCTCGACATGCGTCTGCGCGAGCCGACCACCTAGTATTCGATAAACTCTTAATTGTATTAGCATTATGTTTCATATTTAATTGCAAAATTGACCATCTATGCGTTGATGCGGAAAAGAAGTTGTATAATTGTTGTATAAATCCAAAAAACATTGATGCTTGTGAGCAACTTTCAGCAGAAGATATGCCAACTAAATTTAATGAGTGTGTGCTACATGGTACATAATAAACAAGTGGATTAATTTCTTTTATTCGTGCCTGAACTCCACTGTATTGGCCTGACATATTACTAGCATTATCGTAGCTTTGCCCTCGACAGTCAGAAATGTCAATATCGTGTGATTTTAAAGTATTGGTAATGGCATTAGTCAAATCTAAAGCTTTATGTCCTGGATTTGAAACAAAACATAAGAATCGTTCTACAGGAAGACCTGTTTCGAGGACATATCTCACCATAAATGATAATTTGTCGACGTGCGAAATATCTGGCGTCGAATCAATACTTATTGAAAAATATTTTGATATTTTTAATTCTTTAACAATATTATGTTTTAATTTTTTCATCATTAATAAAATAAACTCATCACATTTCACGTGAGATAAATACGATGTAGAGCCACTACCTTTATTTCCAAAACGAACTATATGATCGGCTAAAAACGGATCAAATTTTGCGATTAATTCGAGTGACATTAAATAATTACCATTGTGTACAGAACCAAAACACGAATCATGTCCTCGAAATGGGAGTCCACGAGAAGCTAACGATTTAATAGTTTCGACTACTCTCTTCAACACATTTCTCCAATATTCGATTTCTGTATCTAATTGTTTAATCAATGAATAATCAATACGCCCCAAGACATTACCTCTATGTTTTAAATTAATAATAGCATCTCTGTGCTCTTTACTATTTTCGTGGTAACTGAAACGGCTAATAGCATTTTTCCAATCATTAAATCCTTCAGTAACAAGTTGAGTTTCTAAAGATGTTTGAAATATACGACAAGGCCCACAAAAAACTACTCCTAAACTTGGAGAATAAACTAACCATGAACGAACAATTATTTCTCCATTAATCAATCGTCTATTAAACATAATGTTGGTCAAATATCTTGTTTTATCACAATATACACGTTTGGAGTTAATAAAACCGTTTGTCATATTTTGATTAAAACCATTTTTTGCAACATAGTCGCGAAATTCGTCGTTAATAACCCATTTAACTGGGTCTGTCTCGAAAATGATTTCATTTACTATCATATTAGTTAACCCATTTGACCCACAACTATCTTCAGGTTCAATATTGTCCACTTCAACAGATAAACTAATTGTTGTTTCACTAACCTGAGCATCTGTTTTCTTCGGAATATCTATAGTGTTAGTGCTACTATTACTACTACAACTATCAGAAGTAGAAGCTGGATTTTTAAAAAAATCAGTCAATTTGTGTGTTTTATTTAAAACATTATGCAACTTTTCACTTTTTAATTTTGCAATTTTTTTGTATTGGTCACCACTTAACCGTTTTCTATTCGTACTCATATTCACAAAATAAATAGGATAATTAAAAAAAAAAACAACAACGATATAATAAGTAGACAAATAAAAGCGACACAGCTACAGCAGTAAGAACTCTACACTACGCAATACGGCCAGTACGCACAGACTGAATTATAATTAATTATTATCACTTCTCCAGAAATAAAATAAAATATCAACAAAATATTCGTATAGAACCGGCGTGCCGTCTTGATAATATTAGATTATACTATTATTATTATTGCCAATTGTTATAAATATGTTCTATAGACGCTCACTGACCGCGCCGTCGCGGCTTGAATAATATTCCCAATAGACGGCGGCACGGCGCGCGGCGGTAAGAAACTATAAAAATAATAAATTCGAATTCTATTTTAAGCCAATGCCATTGTTTTCAATAATTTAAACTAATCTTGTATGCTGTTGTGGCTATTTTTTTTATTTTTTTTTAGAGTATTTTACAATAACATAAAACGATATAATAAGTCTCACCAAGTCAATATATAATACCATAATTATCGAAAAAAAAACCCTTGAAAAATATGCCGCCCCTCAAAATTTGCCGCTGTAGGCACGTGCCTATAGTGCCTGCATATAAATACGCCACTGCTAAAGGGGGCTATTAGGTTTACTATATGGAAAACATACTCTGTTTGATTTGTATTCACCTTCAATTTCACAACGCGAACAGGAAAAGAAACCATTATGAGATTTAATTCTCAAAATAAACGCTTTAGCAGGAGTATCGCAACAGAATACATCAATTTTGACTTTAAATAATTTATTTTCAATTAAAATCCCATGGGTAACTAAATGTTTTGTTTCATTGACAAAATCTTTTAAGAATTCATTGCTGTCAGAAGGTTTTTCTGTTCCAAAATATAATCCCACTGGAAAAACTATATTTGAAGTTGGTCTCATGTATGCTAATATAGGATAAAATTTATTTGAATTGCTTTTAGCAATAGGTAAGCCATCTATCCCTATAACAACTTTAATCTCGGTTTGTAAAGTATTTTCAGGTGATAAATGACGTAGGATACCAACCTCAAGACCAAAATGGTGGTATTTTCCAGGCTGTACATCTCGAATACTTTGTATTTGAGCTGGTTTAGTAAGTAAAAGTGTCCTAGCATCTTTTGGTAAATGTAAAAAACATTTATGTTTTCTTAATAAATGTAATAGACTATTTACAGCAGTATGAGGAATTTTATGTAACAATGCCCATTGAGCAAGTTCTGAATCTATAGAAAAATTGGTCATAAAGTGATTGGATACATTACTAGATGATGTACTATCAGATTCATTATGCAATTGAACTTCATCTATAATATAATTATGATCCTCAAAGTCATGGTATTCCAATTCTAAATTATTATCTTCCATATCAGTAGTTAAAGTATTTAAGAGAGGTGTTACTTCCTGATGAATACTTAAGTCAAGGCAATTATCATTATCTACTACAGAAATTTCGTTAATGGAGTAGGCATCAGAATCATTGGTCGAACCAAAATTGTAAGTATTTAGTTCTTCTCTCATCCTCCTTCTCTGTGTGCGATGACTCGCTGATCTATTATTCATAGTTTTATTAGCTTAAAATTCCTTTAAAGAAAAATAAATAATAATATTATGTATACTATTTATAAGATTTAAATGTAGCAATTTTGTTTTGAAAAAATCTTTAATACTTTTAAATAAATACCTATATATGCATTTTTGGATCTTATTAGAATTTGTATTTATATAGCATTTTAATCAAAATATTACGCGTGTGAAGTTGGGTGACCAAAGCTAGGTGACCAATTTTTGGTGATAAGAAAACTTGTATGCTCGGTTGCATTACGGTATTTTCTAGGCGCACAATGTTTATATTGCCGTTTGTATGTTCTACTTCTATTTCTAACCACAAGATAGCAGTAAAGGATTCTTCACGAAATATTATAAGGTCACCTAAACTTCATGGTATTATAAAATGACGCCGCGAAGCCAGGACATAGCGCTATACACGACAGCCATACGACGCGAAACTTATACGCGCGCATGGGTTTTGATTTTTCCGGCAGTTTTCCGGAAGGAGTCGAAGGACCTAACATAGATATTCGGAAAGCCAGGAAAATTTACTATCCGACGAGATAAATTTCAAGAGCTCCCGGGCTTTGGGGGTAACCGTACTTAGTGCGAGAAAGTGCCAGGTGACTAATGCCGGCATGACGTGAAACGTATACGCGCGTCTGGTGAACAATGCCGGTAGGGCGCGAAACGTATACGCGCGCGTGGTTTTTGATTTTTCCGGCAGTGTTCCGGAAGGAGTCGAAGGACCTAACATAGGTATTCGGAAAGCCGGGAAAATTTACTATCCGACGAGATAAATTTCAAGAGCTCCCGGGCTTTGGGGGTAACCGTACTTAGTGCACGAAAGTGCCAGGTGACTAATGCCGGTATGTTGCGAAACGTATACGCGCGCGTGGTTTTTGATTTTTCCGGCAGTGTTCCGGAAGGAGTCGAAGGACCTAACATAGATATTCGGAAAGCCAGGAAAATTTACTATCCGACGAGATAAATTTCAAGAGCTCCCTGACTTTTTAATTAAACGTACTTAGTGCACGAAAGTGCCAGGTGACTAATGCCGGTATGACGTGAAACGTATACGCGCGCGTGGTTTTTGATTTTTCCGGCAGTGTTCCGGAAGGAGTCGAAGGACCTAACATAGGTATTCGGAAAGCCGGGAAAATTTACTATCCGACGAGATAAATTTCAAGAGCTCCCGGGCTTTGGGGGTAACCGTACTTAGTGCACGAAAGTGCCAGGTGACTAATGCCGGTATGTTGCGAAACGTATACGCGCGCGTGGTTTTTGATTTTTCCGGCAGTGTTCCGGAAGGAGTCGAAGGACCTAACATAGATATTCGGAAAGCCAGGAAAATTTACTATCCGACGAGATAAATTTCAAGAGCTCCCAGGCTTTGGGGGTAACCGTACTTAGTGCACGAAAGTGCCAGGTGACTAATGCCGGTATGTTGCGAAACGTATACGCGCGTCAGGTGACTAATGCCGGTATGACGCGAAATATAGATAAATATTAGTATAAATAATAATATGTGCTTATAAAACTGTGTTGTACGTATTTTTAGCCACCATAGCTGGCGGCTTCCAAAAATTATTAATGATGATTTCGTGTAAATATATTTGAGTATGAATTATACTTACACTGTATGAGATTTTCATTTAATTATTGTCTGTCTTATCTTTAGTTATATTGGACTGTGCATGTTAGTAGTATATTTTTACATGTTTTGTGTTGAACGTGTGTTGATGTTTATCATTTTTTTCTTTATTTCTTAAGTGTTAGACTAATATATAATGTAATTTTTTTGTTATTGAATTGTTGAATTCCATTTTAAGCCAAGGAAATGCTAGTTAAGTTAAAGATATTTTATTGCTGCTATATGATGTTTTAATTATGTGCCATCTTGTGGTGAATTATACTATCGTCTATCTTTATGCAATTTTATTGATATAGATGCTAATTTTGAATAGTATAGTGTTAACGGAACATATTTATGATTCACATAATAATGTAACTTTTTATAGAAATACATAACCTATGGTAAAAAGGTATAATTTGAAAAAGTTGTAAAAAAAATTAATTGTACCTACTTAACAATTGTAATTAATCAATATATGTAGTATGTACAGTTATGTATTTATGTCACAAACGCACAACATAAACCTTAGGTATATGAAAATAAAATCATAATACATATAGAACACAATAAGTACTTAAAAAATAATAAAAATAAACTCTTTATAAATGCCAAAATATGGCTATAATGATGCATACCAGTACAATGTGAATATTTTGATTTTATTTATTATTCAGAAAAATAATGTTCTATTTTAATGTAAATTCTAAATATAGTAATAACTAATAAGTATTTTCGAATCGAACAGTTTTTGTACAACACTAAATTCTTTATAAAACCTGCATAGTGCAAATATTGACCACAGATTTTAACTTTAAATACAACACTAAGAAGTGCTTCTAAAACTGTTACTTGACTAGTTTAAAATTTAAAATTTTTAATTTTTAAGTTATAATCGTTTAAATTATTTCAGGTAAATAATTTATTGGTCCAGTATATTGCGAAAGGCTTTGTAAATGGTTGGTCCTCACAATACTGTTTGTGTACTTGACTTTTCGTTAAGAAAATACTAATTCTGGTCATCTCCCTGAAATTGTCGTATTTGTTTATCATGGTGGATGATGTGCTTTGTACCTATATAAATATTTATTTTTGAAATTACAAGTGACGTGCGTTATACTATCATTATTTTGATATTAGTTTTACTCATATAGTCATGATATACCTACTTAATTTTAATTTAATCATTTAGAACATCTGTCTTAGATAAAATATTATTTTATAAGAATACCTATTGTAATTTTTAAATTGATTTATAGTATTCTTTATTCCTTGTATATATTATATTGTTTATTTGTCATCAACTAGTAATAATAAAAACTCCCTATCTCCAATACAAGCTGCATAATAGGCGACGTGCATTTGATATGAATGCTACTCAAGCGCGCATGGTGGACAAAAATCTAAGTTTTGATGGGACAACAGTGTACACTGTACAATATGATATCAATACTTTATTTATTAATAATTTTATTACATTACATAAAAAAGTAATTGCGTATAACTAATCATTTTTAAAAGATATAAATATGTTTAATAATAGTATGTTTACTAGTTACCATAATCAATAACATCCCATGAAACTAGATAATAGTGTTTTGTTATGAAAATTAATGTTTACAATTTTAAATTGGCTGTAGCCTGTAATGTATTAATATTATTATGTTAACTCTGATTGATATTTTAATATGAGTCAATGTATAACTCTTTATTCAGGATTTAAATCTATTATTAGTAGTGGCTTTTCTGATAATGTCCAGAGTAAAGGAAAACTGTTGGTGAAAAGTCACCATGTGATAAACGTTAAAGAAATATTATTAGGTAACAATAGTCAAATTAATGGCCATGTTACCTATACGGCAAGCTTCAGTTACGTTGCATCCATATCTAGTGAAACTCGTAGTAAGTTTAATTTAGTCTTGTAAATTCATTGTAATATTTCTGATTTCATTAATATTCTGTTTAAATAAATAATAATTGTGTTCAAACTTCAAAATGTAGTTGGAGTGAATAATCTAAAGTTCTTAAATTATATAATAGGTTAATGGGTCTAACAGAGATGTTGTAGAAGCTGTATGTCAATGTCCAGCAGGTATTGGTGGAAAATGCAAACATGTATATGCATTAACACATTATATAAATACAGAGAGTGGTCATTCTAAAACAAGTGATCGATGCGAATGGAATGAACCCAAAATTTCAAAGGCAGGAAAAGAAAAATATTGTAAGGGTAAAAGAATAGAGGAACTATTTCCACCTAAGTCTGATAAGTTGACACAGTGCACCCATACAAACACAATTCCTAATTTCATAGCACCATCTTTGTTTAAAATTGTCTATGATGAAGAAAAAAAATCAGAGTGTGAAAATATTGTATCTGAAGTCTTAAATAATTTAATAGAAAATGTTTTAGAGTCATTAACTTTAGAACAGTCCACATTCCTCATAAATAAGATTTTGATAAATCAAAAACAAGAAAAAAATATTTTTAAACCTGATTTTATAAATAAAATAACTGAAACTTTTTATGAAAACAATGTTAAATTGTCTAAAAATAAGATCATGAACATTTGTATAAATACAGTAAAACAGTCCAACAGTCAGGCATGGTTTGATGAAAGGGCAATTAGATTGTCAGCTAGCAGAGCACATTTGGTAAAAATCAGATTAAGAAATTATGAAAAATTAGCCATATCTTTAATAAATAAGAAGCCAATGTTTGGCAAAGGTCTAAAAAATGTTAACTATGGAAATGAAAATGAAAAAATTGCACTTAAAAAGTATAAAGAAATGTATGAGCTTGAAGTTTATGAATGTGGTTTAGTATAAATCATTTAAATCCTTGGTTGTGTGGAAGTCCGGATGGAATTGTAATGTCTGATGGAAAACCTATAAAAGTGTTGGAAATAAAATGTCCCATTTCTTGCATTAATCAACCAATTATTACTGATGCAGGAGAATGTAATTTAAATTATTTAATTAAAGATAGTAATGGAGTTATTATGTTAAAAAAAAACCACATTTACTATACTCAGTGCCAAGTTTTGATGTACTGCTGTGATCTTTTTATTTATTCAAGCAAGTATGAATGTATTTTAATTAATATAAAGAGAGATGGTGTTTTTTTAAAGGATTGTATTTATAAAATGAATCATTTTTATTTTAAATATTACTTAAAACAATTAACAATCCATTTTGGATTATAAGGTTTTATATGTTGGTGCAAAAAAAATGTAACTTTTCAAAATATATACCTACATGTTTATACCATATTATAATGTAATGTTTGTTGTTGTTTTGATATCAATAAAATTAAACTTAAACTTTAAGTGTTTAAATGTTTAAATTTAGAAATTTATATTGGTGTATTATTTATATAAAAATGATAAATGATTTGTATTTTAATTTTAAATTGTTTAAACACAAATAAGACACTTGAACTAAATATTAAAATGAATACAAAAATCATATATTTTCATTTATTTATTCAGTGGAAAATAATATAATCCATACATATTTATTTATATAATAATAAAATAAAATAGTAAGTACCATGCTACCTTATTTATAATAGGTACCTACCTAACTAAAACAAAAAATTTATAACAGAATATTAAAAAGCAAAAAGTCATAAGTCATAGTTAAAAAAAAAACACATTCAAATAATAATTAAACAAGTTAGTATTATCATTGATTATATGACATACTATTTATAAAATCAATGGTATTATACAATTATTTTAATAAATAGATTAATGTATTAGGGGTATGGTTTAATTAAAGGTGGCTGTAAATTTGTCATTACACAACACACAAATATTATATTATCAATACATTCCAAAAGTTCAATGGGAATTTTCTGAAGTATGTTATACATTTTTATTCTCTGAATAGATCTTTCAACGTGTATTCGAACACTAGAAATATTATAGGTTCTTATAATTTCATCTTCTGTAAAAACTCCATTATGCATAAATGGGCATAACTAAAATAGAGTTTTTTTCATTTACACTAGTTTTTATCCCAGGAAACCCCTTGTCAGCCATGACTTGATCCCCAGGTTCTAATAAGTTTAACAAACCACTATCATTAGTGATGAAGCTATCACTAGCTCTACCACCATATGCTTTTGAAACAAAAATGATCATACCACACGGAGCTATTCCAACTAAAAATTTACAAGTAAAAGCAGATTTGTAATGAGAGTACATAAACGCTCTTTGATCAACATGAGGTGGTTGTTCAGTTTTGATTTCTGTACAGTCAATAATAACCCTACAGTTTGGATAATGTTGTTTAAAAGATTGGGGTAAGGTGGAAACAATAGATTTCTTACTAGGCCAAAACACACATTTTTTGGTAGCAACTGCAAGCATTTTTAAAACATTTTTAAAAATTCTTGAACATGTGGAACGGTGTAGATTAAAGAATATTGAAATTGATGTAAAACTAATTCCTAGTTTTAACTTCACTAATGACAACAAAAGTCTATCTTCTTTAGATTTTTTAGAATAATTTTGATCATCAATATATGTTAGAAAAATATTAAAAGTTTCAAAGTTAACACCACATAAAGATATTAAATGACTTTCATTTT